CTGGACCAGGAAGAAGACAAAGGGAGAGGAGGGGCTGGAGAGTTTTCAGTTTGGAGCTGGCTGGGAAAATGAAAGGGAGCCCAGACAGGGCTCTGGCCTCCCTGCCCTCCCCCCCCTAAGATGGACCTGACTAAGGGGTTCCTGTTGTCTGTACCTGCAAGACCTGTCTTGGACTGTGTTCCTGTCGTCTAAATAAACCTTCTGTTTTACGGGCTGGCTGAGAGTCATGGTGAATTGCAGGAAGCTGGGGGTGGAGGGCCTTGTTTCCCCCAAACTCCATGACAGGGGGAATTAATTGAGGCTGGGTCCCCCACATCCCAGGTGAGTGCTCTAACCATGAGGCTAAAAGTTATAAGGTGGGCACCCCCACCTCCTCCTCCTCTGGCCATTTTGTGTGGAGAAGTGGCTTAGGCATCTAAGCAGCCTGACTCCAGGCAGCTGATTCCTATTCATGCATTGCTAAGCAGAGACAAGCACTTTCCTGCAGCCCAGACTTAGGAGCCTGACTCTGGGAAAGGGGTGGAGCTTAGCACACATCCCTGTCATGGGCATCTCCCAAGGTGTGAGAGATGTAGCTTATGTGGCTCTGCGCCTAGTCTGCTGGCTTTTGTGGATCCATTCTATGGTGCCTCTCAATCCCATGCATTGTATAGGAAGCCCAGACACCTAAATCAGCTTTGTGGATCACGGTGTTATTCCTCTGATCTTTTCAGATGCCTAAAAGTTAGGTGCTGTGACACTTAGTGTTGCAATGCCTAGGTCCCTTCCTGAATCCCACCCTATGAATCTATGAGTGTTGTAACTAAGGTCAAAATCTGGCCCACTGTTTTCAACAGGATCTGAATGTGGCCCTAAATATTTTAACTTCTTAAATAAATGTTTTGGACCCTGATTCAGTCAGTTACTTAAGCAAGTGAAGATTCTCATTCACGTCAATGGAACTACACACGTGCTTAAAGCTGTACATGTGATGAATACCTTCCCGAAGGGGGTGTGGCGAGTGGAAAGGGAACAGTGTAACTACTCCCTTATAGACAAACTACCAATGGTGTCTGGTGTTATATGTAGCACATTCCTCATGCAGATATGTCTCTCTCCTATTCTGCCTCTGGTGTTTTGGTTTATTTACTGTATATTTATTCAAAGTTTCCCTGCTGGGAGCTGTTCCTGCGCATTCGCTCACTGTCAATTACATTGCCAGAAGCACAGCAGCACCTACTGCGACATTTCTATCGCATTACAACTATTTCCTTAAGGTGACCTTGGGTCTGAGATATTTGTCAGCCGGGAAATAAAACATAAAGAGAAAAAAATGAACCAGGAACACTAGGTAGTGATTTGTCCCCAACTAGACGCTGCAGTTGAACATGAAAGTTACTGATGAACACTGTATACTTACTTACACCATAAACCATCCCTTGCTAGAGGCCCCATGTGAAATTATGCCTCTATAAATTAATGCTTTCAATGAATGCCGTTTTATTGTACAGCCAGAAGTGGAGACTCATCATTAAGGGCCTTTGCACAATTCAGTTCCATACGCTGATAATTATGAAAAAATACATTTGGCAAGACAAAGTGTCTCATTTCATTGGCAGTAGCCCAGGACCCTTTTCCAGAGGCTCCAACTGCATAGGTTATTAGTTTCCTTGAGTCAAATTCAGCCTTGGTGTAAGCAGGCAATTGAAGGTCTCTGTTTTCACCACGGCTCAGTTTTGGCCACTTGGGTTTTTCAGAGTGTATCTTGAAAAATCATCTGCTGAGCATGCATGTGTCAAAGGCAGTAACTGATTTGCCAAGCTATGTGGCATGCACCATGTAGTGGAAAACAAGATCCAGCCTCATTCTTTTAATTTAGAGCAGATTAGCTAACCTCATTTGTTTCTCAACAACTTATCCCTGTAATATCTTTTTATGTGTGAAATCTTTTAATCATATTACAAAATATATATGGCAGAGTTTACTAGTTGTGTGAAAGCTATAGTTAATATTTCCTATAGTTAAAGTGGTGGCTAAGATTATGACTTCCATAAGAACCCTGTATTTTCAACAGACTCACAACTGTCATGATAATGGTGTGAGCTGAAACTTGCAATGGTTGCACTCAGTCCAGATGTGATATGTCAGGAGGATTTGCGGGTGGAGAAGGAGGAATGTAAGGAAAATTCATTCAGCCATTTCGGAGTCAGAGAAAGTGTTTAAGATCTTTTTGTGCACAAAAACTCAAAAACAGTTGAACAACAACATTCTAGATGTGATATCTCTGCCAAGTGCGGTTAAATAACCTGATCCAACTAAAAACATTTCTATGAATTATTTTTAAAATTTAAATGTTGACGGATGTATCTATGAAATTAAACATTACCCTGCAGTCCAAACACATGACATTCTGCTAGTGCATGAGAATCTGGAAGTGAAACTTTTATTAATGGAAAACCAGATGCTTCACTGCCTTACCGCTCCTTTAGATGGTTCTAAACAAAGCCCATGGATGCAGTCACCAGGGAGAATTCCCCTGATGTAAGGGAATTCTCCAGATAAGGTAGAGCTATCTTAACAGCTCAATGCCACACTGAGTCAGACCACCTGATGCCGGGTGTGTGCCAGAGATGTGGCTGGGGGAGGGGGTTGCGCTCCAGCAGTTCTTGGTTGCTGAAACAGCCCCTTGGGACAATAAGCAGCCAAGTGTGAGATAGAGCAGCTCTGATAGGGAAATCAATGACTTCTCACCAGTGAGAGATGTGCCCAGATGGGCACAACCGTTTGGCCGCTCTGAACAGGCACCACACTGCACCATTCCTTGTTGCTAGAGAGCTAGGGGATAGCCAGAGCTGCTTTTTTGCTGTTTGACATGTTTATGTAAAACCTCTAACTTGTGCTCCAGGATAAAGGCTTGGAGAGAAAAAGGTTTCACCGTAAGACTATGGATTGTGTGTCTGGTGCACTCAAGTGTGGCAGACTCAGCATAGATTTGTCTGGGTTGCTCCCAGTGGCACAGTAGCTACACCAATTGTGCAATACGCTACCCTCCTTCCATGCATGACCAGTTATGGGGATGAGAGAGGGAATAGTCCCGCTCCATTCGGCGTGCTAATGTCTGTGGGTCATTTTGGAAGAATCCTATAGAATTTCCTAGGGATGAAACCAATAGGGATCTATCGACATTATTCTTTAAAACTTGTGGAATTTAATAACGACTCATATCCTTGCTATAACATTTTTAAATTGCCCAATGGAATTCTATAGAGGAATATAATTATTAAATACTAGAAGGTGGCTTGAAAAACTCATAGAAAAATTACCATTTACTTTTAAATTCTGTTGGACAAAACAAAAAGGGAAGTGTAGAGAGGAAGCAGAGTCTGTATCCTCCTATAGCACGTAGCATTACAAACAGGTAGGAGGCTCCGATTCATAGACTCAGATTCCAATGCCAGAAGAGACCACTGTGATCACCTAGTCTGATCTCCTGTATAGCACCGGCCATAGAACTGCCTCCAGATATTTCCTAGAGCAGATCTTTTAGAAGAACCTCCAATCTTGATTTTAAAATTGTGAATGATGGAGACTCCATCCTGACCCTAGGTAAGTTGTTCCAATGCTTTTTTACTCTGACTGTTGAACATTTATGCCTTATTTCCAGTCTGAATTTGTCTAGCTTCAACTTGCAGCCATTAGATTGTGTTATACCTTCTTCGCTAGACTGAAGAGCCCATTATTAAATATTTGATATCCAAGTAGGTACTTATAGACTGTAATAGGTCACCCCTTATCTCTCTCTTTGTTAAAATAAGTAGATTAAGTTGCTTGAATCTATCACTATAAAACAGGTTTTCTAATCCTTTAATCATTCTCATAGCTCTTCTCCCTCTCCAATTTATCAACATCCTTCTTGAATTGTGGGCACCAGAACTGGACACAGTATTCCAGCAGTGGGCACATGTCTCTACTCCTACTGGAGATTCTCCTGTTCATGCATCCAAGGACTGCATTAGCCCTTTTGGCCACAATGTTGCACTGGCATCTCATTTGTCCCTCCATCCCCAAGGGGTGGTCGAGTGAGCAGCCCCAGTGTAGTCTTTTTTGGTTTTAGTTGCTGGTCTAGGTAACCCACTCTACCACCTTACCACCAGTCCTTTAAAACAATGAATCAAATCCTCAGCAGGCGTAAGTCCGTTTGTGCAATTGAAATTAATGGAGCAGTGCAAATTCTGACCAGCTGAGGAGCTGGCTCAAGTATTTGGAAAGTTGCAAAGCCAAGAGCTCCAGAACATCTGTACAACACATTTAAAGCCAGAATTGAAGAGCAATAATTTTAATGGTGGAAAATCGTGAGTGCAATAACTGGCATAATTCATTAACAGGAGCATGTCAACATGTGCTTTTCCTACCCCCCCACTCCTAACAAAGTGCTGTTGAGTGAACAGCCTTACAGAAACACACTGATTGCCATGAATGACTGGGGCTGGGTAGGAAATGCTGGATAATGTTTTTGTGTTTTGGGGGGGAAATAACCTATCATAATCTGCATTTTAAAAAAATGCCTCACCCACTCATTTGTAGGAATGGATATAATCAATCCTGACTTTCAGAAGAGAGGAGTTATTAATGGCACTTATGCCAACCAGTTCTTCGAGTTTAACCTTGGCATCTGCCTGAGGGCTTAGCATTTATGTCCCTTCCAATGATGTGTGTGAGATTATTCTGAAGATGTTTCTTGCCCAAAGAAGAAATCTTCACATCAATTTATTTTTAAAAAGCCCACTACAATTAAAGCTTTGGGGAACTTGGTTGGGCCTTTTGGTGGTGGTGATTGTTTTTGTTTCTTCTTACATTTCATTTCCATTCCATAAGTTAGAAGAATTTTGCGGAAGAATGCGGTGCATGACTTAGCTAGATCCAGATTCACCTCCCATTAGAGTCAACAGGAGTTTTAGTTTGTCAGAACTTAACAATGCTAGTGACACTGGTTGGAATAAGAGATAATTTTCTATGGACTGGAACAAAACATGCTGAGAATAGATAAGTAATCTGAAATATGCATGATATATGAGTATTCTCCAGTCTCATAAATCCTGGAGAAGAATGAGCTAGATAATTGCTTCTGCACTCACTATTTTATTAGCTCTAAGATAAACTGCATGATAGACTCTTTGCTAGATTCTATTGCAGACCTCCGGGCAAAATTCTCTAATATGGGTGGCATCATATGTACATATAGAAAAATACCATAAACAAAATATCTGGATCATTGAGCTCATGAAGGCTAAATACCTTTATAAGTATGCCTGTCCATGCCAAGTAAAGCCAAAAATTATAACCATGCTTCATGCTAAACATACCCACACAGAGTGACCGAGGGTCAATTCAAGCACAGATATATAACATCTGAATAATGTAAAGCACCTGATTGAAATGCACAGAAGGTAAAATAATTCAGAATGGGTTGGCTAAAAATCTAGGCTGACGTATTCTGACCTTTATTCACCCCGGAATGAAAAACAAGAGAGAAAAAGCACACTGACTGAGGGCCAAACTGCTGCATTTAACCACTGGCACAGAAAGCAGCATCACATTGCCTTGGGGAGGGATTGCACCTTCGGGGGGCTTCTTGTAATGAGTCTAGCATTTTCTCTTTATCTGTTATTCATTTTAAGTTTTTATGGTCCAGTATATGACAATCTGATGTCAATCAGCAACTGGACAATTTTGGATTCTGAAGATCTGACATGAACACCAGGAGCTTTAACATATCCTTTTTTCTTGATCTTTTATTTGCAGTTACTACATGATGAATCTTGGACCAAACAACTGATTTCCAGATGAAGGAGCGTAATGCTGAAGATTGCCATGCTAATACCCCCAGGGCATCTGGAGTTTTATGCAAGTCCCCAGCTTGACTGAAACCACAATATCCATTAAATCAGGAGTGTTACATACCCAATCACAGTCCAGATCCAGTCCCACCTGACATATTCAGATTATGAAGAATCTAAGATTTTGGTTGTTCTTGTTTTTGGTTTAAAAATAAATTTCTGGCCCCCATCTAACCTCACTAGGGTGTTAACTCTAAAGGACACTATCATGTAAACATTATTTAATTGCTGATTACTGTGGCAAACGGAATGGGGAAGTTAGTGAGAGTGAAGCCCACGCGTAGTGGGAATTGCTGTAAGGAAGGAAATGAAGAGAGAAGGGCATAGGAGGGACATAAAGACTGGGAAGAGGGAGAGAAACAGAGAAAGGAGGATGGGAAAGGAAGAATAAAAGGCAAAAGTAGCAGGGTGAGTATATTTTCTCACTGAGTGATGCTGAATGTAACAAAAAAGTACTAAATAAATGATGATAACATTTATTTACTATCCAAGGGCCACATTCTGCTTCTGATCCTTGTGCAAACCTACCATTGACACTGTTGAGATATCTGCTGTGAAAATAGACTGTATTCCTAAGTTTATACTCCAACCTACAGACCACAATGAAAAATGGAATTTGGCTTTCTCCACAGAATGAAATTGACACGCTCTGTTCTCTGCCTCTGTTTAATATGTTGGGGAAAAAACAAATATCCTAATAAATATGTACAAAACATGCCAAGACAAATCCTGCTCTCACCATGGAATTTTGATCTGGTTGCATTGGTATATTTCAAAGCAGAACTTGGCCTTGGACTTTAAATGTATAACTCTGAAAATACTGAATTGATTTTCTTCAGATGTGAATTGTTTACTGCATTACCAGGGACTATAAAACTGTGTTCAAATATCCTAGCGGTCAGCCCTTTTTGAGCTACGTAAGCACAAACATTTCAGTCAGAACACGTAAGCAAAGTGGATTTCTTTTCAGGCCCACATAATTTAAAAACAGCCAAACTAATTTTGCTGAGACCAGGGGTGACCAACCTGTGGCTCCAGAGCCACATGCGGCTTTTCTGAAGTTAACATGCGGCTCCTTGTATAGGCACCAACTCCGGGGATGGAGCTACAGGTGCCAACTTTCCAATGGGCCAGGGGGTGCTCACTGCTCAACCACTGGCTCTGCCCCCACTACACCCCTTCCCGCCCCCTCCCCTGAGCCTGCCATGCCCTCTCTCCTCTCCCTCCCCGCCAAAGCCTCCTGCACACCACGAAACAGCTGGTCAGGAGGTGCGGGGAGGGAGAGGGAGATGCTGATCAGCGGGGCTGTCGGGTGGAAGGCGCTGGGAGCAGGGGAGGGAGCTGATGGGGGACTGGTGACGTATTACTGTGGCTCTCTGGCAATGTACATTGGTAAATTCTGGCTTCTTCTCAGGCTCAGGTTGGCCACCCCAGCTGAGACTTTCCAAAATATTCATCTTTAGGCTGAGGCCAAGCATGGAAACTACACATCCCAAATGTAACTTGTTTGAGGAAATTATGAGCAACCAAAAAGTGCGGGTGAGACTGGAAACTGTAACTCAACCTTAACTGTAGACAACCATTTTTATTTTCCCAGGTCAAGTCAGCAGTTCCCAAGTCTGGGTCATGGAAATAACTTTAGCAGGTCCTGCATGCCCCTGATTGGAACTGTGGTTTTCTTCTTTCCTATATCAGCCGTGTTGACTCTTATCTTTAGAAAATCAGGGGACACCTTGGCAGTTTTTGTCTACTTGGTACAGCATTCTACCAAGCTGACTGTAGGGAATGTCTGTAAGATCTCAGCCAGATCATCCCAGCCTACTGCCAGATGTTGCAGCTCTTATCTTTCATACTCAGTCTCACAGGCCAGACCACAATCAAAATTGTGCTAGCAAATTACTGGGCTGCTGTTATAGAATTTGTCTATTGGTTCTTTTTATTTTTATTGAACATTTTTACTGCAGTGGTATCTACAGGCCTCAAATAGGTCAAGGACCCATTGCGCTAGGCACAAACATATAGGCCCTGATTCTGCTGTCCATTCCCAGTCAGTAAAGAGCATAAGCACGTGCTTAACTCTCAGCACATGTTTTAATCCAATTACTTCAATAGGAATTAAGCAAGTGCTTAAAAACTTTGCTGAATTGGAGCCATAGTCCCTGCTCCGGAAGCTTACAGCTGAAGGCCCTGATTTAGCCAGGGACTTAAGCATGGGCCTAACTTTATGCCTGTGAGTTGCTTTAAGTACCTTATTGGAATGGGGCCCTAAAAAGCAACAAGTGGATGAGACAAACAGTCAAGAGTGGAGGAGGCAAAAAAAGGGTATTCTAGCCATATGTGAAAAACAATGTCCTTTAATTTGTTGACAATTTGGAATTCAAAAATTTTCAGCCAGCTCTATTTAGCTATGTGCACATTCTTAGCCAATCAGAGGCAGTGATCACAACACGTCACCTATGCAGTTTCCAGCACTGTTTTCTTGACCTTACAAGGGGCACTGTGGAGGTCCACTATGTGCTCATCTTATAGAAGGCCAGGGGACAAGAACTCTTGAGCAGACCCTTCTGGCAAACCCAGGAAAGAAACTGAAGTGCTCTAGTGGAAGACACCACATTGAGTTTAACTCACTAGGAAGAAGGGACAGCAGCCATGCAGCAACATGACACGTTTGATGGTGGAGGTGGGGAAGCACAAGGGTAAGAAAATGGAGGTGGCCAAAGGGCTTCCCAAGAAAAAATCTGCCATTTTTGAAGCCTGTTTCTAAAACAAGAAGTGGGAGATGATTTGTGTGCTATCAAGAGGACTCAACAGCAGTTTTATCCTTACAGTGATCTTTTGAGAATGATTAGTTCATAATGTGGACTAAGTGTAGAGATGTTACTCTCAGGAATGCAACTACAGTGCATTGAAATCAACTGGGTGGCAGTGGCATAACTGAGAGCAAAATCCAACCCATTATATTTTTGCTGTACTGAAATATTAACTGTAATAGCAATGTTGTTCCACTTTAAAAATGGATTACTGGGCATGCATATTTATGGGGCTGTGCTCCCTGAGGTGCATGCACAGAACTCCCATTTAAGCTAATGGGGCTAATACAAGAGCACTGACAGGTGGAGAGACAAATTAATAAGGAGATTTAGCGTGCAGGCTTTCAGTGAACATAGAGCACTTTCATTTAAAAATATAATAATGCTATTTATAAAGCAACCAGCAACAGAACCCTCAGAGCAAAGTAGGATAATTCCGTTATAAAAAATGTATACATGCTGAAAATAAAAATATAATGTAATAATACCAACAAACAGAAGAGAAAGAGTGGGGGACTTGCTTAGTGATTAGGGGGAAGGGAAAGGTCATCTTTTAAAATGAAAGTCTTCTGCTGTGTTTCTAAAGTGGGGCTAGAAGAACTGATGGACATTAAGGGAAAGTGAGGTCATCATGGGCTAATGGGGCACCACTAGGTGGCTTAAGATGTACAAGGGATGGGCAAATGTCAGAAGGCAACTGCCTATCAGAACTGTACAGTCTGTCGTAGCAGAGAAGAGACAGAACTAGGCTGTAATGAATAAATGCAAAGATGACTGTTTATTAAGGCTTTGACTCTGTGGGCCTTTCTGGCTCTCCAGCTCCTAGACTGTCTAACACAGACCCTGCTGCTTAGTGTCTCCACACCGAGTCCCCCTAAGTCCTGGCCTGGATTCGGCAGTCATGGCATGCTGACTGCAATACAAGGACAAGGCTCAGGAATGATGTCTCCCACATAGTGAGAGCAGACACTATCCAGGGCTGATGATATTTATTTAGGGAGCTGTTACCTGCCAGCTATTTAATGGGTCCATGATCTATACACACCAAACCTCAATGTAAGCAGAGACACAATCAGTTGTATCAGTGCATTATTGTGTTAAATAAGGAGCTGTTGTGAACTACTGGGTTAGTACATAATTTGGATATTGTTAGACTTTTCCTTTTATAAAAATAATGAAATCCAGCCACAAAAAGATTGCATGTGAAGCAGCATTAATGGTTTGACAACAGGCCACAAAAGCCCTGAAATGTTATTTTGGCAGAAAATGAAAGCTGACACACATGCCATAGCTGGACCTTTGATGTGGCATGGAAGAAACCTTTCACCCCCCGCTTGCAAAGCCTGCCGAAGGGTCAACTACAACTCACGAGAATGCAGGGACTACTCCTGTCGTGTGCCCATGGGATCCTGTCCTGCCCCCTTCCACTCTGGGCTGAGGATGCAGTTAGTGCAGTCCCCCTATGCACTGAGCTATTCAGGGAGGGACTGTAACAGTGGCTTAAACAGCCAGACACATTACAGCATGCCACAAATGAACCTCGTCGGGCAAATGGCAGATTTAAATGTTTTGTTTTAAATAATAATAAAAAAAGATCAAAACATCTGAGGTCAAGTTTTTCCCACCACTTACATCCCTATAGACCATCCAAACTTTAGTGATTTGAATGGGATGTGGATGGGTTATAGGTGAAGGCGGAATTACCCGCTTCACTTTCACATCTTATGACAGTTTAATGTAAACAGGAAATACTAAAAGACCTGCAGAGTCAACATCTTTCTACAGCTACCTAACTCCCAGTAACCATCATGTGTAAAGGTGCTAGGACACAACAGTATGACAGACACCACTCCCTTGGTTCTCTTTCAGTGTCTGTTCTGCTAATCTTGAAGGATAGGATCACCCTGCAAGTGACTGATAGCTGGGATGTAAATTGAACACCGGGGGCGGGGAGGGGGAGAGAGTATGTGAGCGCGCTGGGGGATGTTGATGCATCGCAATCACTGTAGACTAGCAAATATTAACATTAATCCTGTGCATCACGACTGCACATTCGCTATACTTTTCCACATATCAAATCCATAAGTCTATCTCCTGAGCCAGTGGTTGATTTAGTATCCAGCAAATAACTGATGATGTATTACCTCTCTTGTAATGGATTAGCTAGTTCAACCATACTTGCCTTTGATGTGATGGAATAAATGACAGCAGTTTTACTAATGCATGCTTCCTTCCCCCCCCCCCCGCCCCCGCATCAAATAAGGCAAAAAGTTGTCCCTTAATATTTGAACCCATACAAGAATATAATACATATAGACAGCAAATGGGTATAATGTAACATGCCATAAAATGTAAGTAGCTTTC